GGATCTCAGATTAGAAATTTAATATCTTAGTGACGATTTGAGCTATTGAGATGCGATTGGTGCACTTTTGAAATATGTATGTGAGGTAAATCCTACTCTGGTCGGAGATTAAAATGTCGAAAGGTAAAAATATCGAATCATAAAAATGTCAAAAGTAAAAATGTCGAACCATAAATACGCCGAAGTATAACAATGTCGACCCATTGAAAGGATGAGGGTGTGAATATGCGGGTCCGGGCGAGGATGTGAATGAGAGTATGGATGTGCGGATGTGGGTAGGGATGTGAGTGAGGATTTAAATGTATCGGTGTAGGTGAGGATATGGATGTGCGGATGTGAGAGTATCATATTCTTTTTTTTATATACTCACCGATCCATATCCTCATGGACACGCATTTTTACATTTCGAAATTCTAAATTTTCGATATTTTTACCTTTCGACTAAAATAGGGTGAATCGTATGTGAAATCGAAATTTGAAAAAAATCAATTGAGCACCACAGGTCGTGACTTAAGTGAAATGATTCATACAAACTTTTTTATTTATGTGATTAAGTGTTCAATTTGTTTAATGAAATAAGTAGTTGGATTTGTTTATTTAAAACATTTAAGTATGTTTTTTTTAGAATATGATGTTCATTTGAGATTGATTGATTTTTTTGTTTAATAAGAATCTGAGAAATTTTATAGATTATGTAAGGTATCGGCAATTCGAAATTTGAAAAAAATATTTTTTGTCACGGTTGGATAGAACGCGATGAATTATCTGTAGAAATATGGGTTTTTGAAATATGCAGACGATATTTCCGTAGTAGAAATTAGGTTTAAAAAAAGCCTATAAAAATTGAAATATGCCAAAAACAATAAATCTTCATAGCTTCAATATTTATCCGATGTTGATGACAGTCGATTTTTTCGTTATGATAGCAAAAAAAATAAATAAATACAAATTTGTATTCAGAGATTTTTATCATCAGAACTTCAGTTCTGAAAGAGACGAATATCATATTCAGAATCAACGAAAATATCTACATCGAGCAATATACTCAATACTCAAAACTATTTTTGTCAAACGAGAGGAATCGTTAATCAAGAAAATTGAATTTCTTATTTTCTGAATAGTTAATGAAGATGTCAGCAGTTGATTGAAGTTCGAATTACATCATTAGACTTCATTCAAACTGTGAAAACTTGATATTATCGATCTCCTATAGCGTTATACAATGCAATATTCATATGGAAAACTCTTTCTTTCCTCTATCGAATAACCATATAGACGTATGACAAAATATTGTTCTTTCTCCCTTTTGCTTTTTAGATGAGATTATTCTCTTGTACGTACAAGCGATGAATATCCATGACAAAACTTTCTCACTATTGAGCTGTAAAAGTAGCGATTCATTTTTTATTATAAAGCCTTTCAAAACTCTATTCTCTGACAACTTTTATTTTCGTCTAAAAATTCAGCACAGGAGTTTTATCATGGATATCCTCAGATTGTACATACAAGTGAATAATCTCATCTAAAAAGCAAAAGGAGGAAAAAACAATATTTTGTCATACGTCTATATGGTTATTCGATAGAGGAAAGAAAGGACTTTTATTTGATGTATATAAGTCAAATTAAAAGATCTGAATAAGGGAGATAAACTTGCCATATAAACATTGTATTGCATAACACTATATAAAATCATTAATATCGAGTTTTGATTCAGCCGGAATAACGTCTAACGATGTAATTCGAACGTCAATCAACTTTTGACATCTTAATGAACTATCCGGAAAGTAAGAAACTCAATTTTGATAGGGGACCGATTTGGTTGCTTTTAATGATCTTTCCTCCCCTTCGTTTGACTAGATAATTATGATTTTGTTGCTTTTTATCATCATCTAATGATGTAACATTGTTAAGCTATAGTTACAAATAAAATTTTCACATCGAACATAACAGTGGTCGGTCAAGGATTTTGAGAAAGAAGAATGATCATAGTGACAAAGGTTGTATCAGCACATTTTCCAATGTTTTCTACTAAGAAAAAAATCGAAATAGATTTCATAATGAATGGACGATCGTCTTCCCTCTAAATCTGCCATTGAAGATCTCTGTTTCGGTCAGAACACTCGTAGATATGACAATACTTTGCTTAACTGTGTAAGCACTACTTTATAGGTAAATTTTGGTATCAGAAATATTGAATACAGGCTACGTATTGATATCAATTAAAGCGTAGTACACCAATGTTTAATATTGCTAATCAAAGTAATCGATAGTGAGAAAATGTTTCGTTCATTTCGGTAATTTTTTTTTTTGGAATTTTTCTGCTGGATGGATAATCAATTATACACAACATATTGATTTCATCTAAATCTCATTCATCATCAATTTTCTATTAAAAAAAAATCAATGTCAATATATAATAGACATTATGCTTTAGGGTATTCTTAATTCTTGTAGAATAGCGTTCATTTTCTTTTTGTTTGTACATACATTGACCTTGAAAATGGCATCGTTAGTTTTTTATTAATTATATATGACTTGTCCGTCATTTTTCTTTCACCTTTTTGTTCGTTCTGATTGATAGCTAGTATTTTTTTTTTATTTTAAGATTCATCGGTATGTCATATGATTATATTTGTAATTGATTGCAGATATTGTTTATTGATTTATTAATAATAAAAGTACCAATCTCTTCTACATCCATATATATATATTTGTTTATTAGAAACAAAACATAAATTACATATTGTATATATATATATATATTCTTTGTTGTTTTGGGCAAACTATTATTTTCTTGTTTATGTCTAAATGTCATATTTAACTGAATACATTTCTGTGCAAAAATTATTATCACCTGTCTTTTGTAATTATTTTGTAGAATTATAATAGCATCTTAACAGACACATGTCAATATTATTAAACTCATCATATTTCTTTTTTATATATTTGTAAAGACAGTTTTCATTATAGTAATTGTCATGAATATCTAATCAATACAACATGTCATTTTATGTTCTATTTCTTCTCTATTCGACAAATGATGTTCACATTCTATCTGTATTGATAATATTTTGATCTTATAATACTATTCTTCAAAATAAACTCTCATTTATCATTTTATATATTCATGTTGTCTCTAATTCCACTATTCACGTCCGTATTATTATCCACCAACGAACTGACAACAAGAAGAAAAAGCAATAACGGAGGAAAAAAAAACGAAGAAGAAGAAGAAGAAAGAAAAACCACTGAATAAGAGATTCGATTAGAAACTCGGCATTTTTTTTCTTCTTCTTCTTCTTCTCTTGTTGAGCAGCTGGCCATGTTTACCGCCATATTCTCCATTTTCTAGTCGTCAAACATACGCACATGCTTTTGGTTTTATTCATGACATTTTCTAAATGAATAAAAGGTAAATTTAGGAGAATAAAAAAAAAACATTTTTATAAATTATAATAGACTTGAAAGACATTAGAAGAATTTTTGATGTTAATCTTTTCAAAGGTCGAAATTATATAAAATACAAAATAAAAAAAAAACTTTATGTACTTTGTTTGACACTATAATTCAATTGACAAAATATTTAGAAAACCGTATTTTGGTTTTTTTCTTATCACAACTGATAAGACATTATCGTTGGTGTGGATTTACCTAGAAATATAAAAAGTCAGATAGCATAAATCTATATACCAAATTATAGCCTATTATTTCATTATCTGTTTATATCATTATTATCATCTGTAAAATAATAATAATAATAAATAGAATCTTAACTCGTGTCATGACAATAATTTTATGTAAAGATAGATGAATATGGATATTTCCTCAGATATTTATATGATAAATTTTCTTTGGTATCTCATTTGTATTTCGACAGGCACATAGTATACGACATTTATTTTAGCTGCTGTTAATAAAGACTGCAAATAAAGAGACGTGTTTTGTCCTTCACGTACTTCTTCGATTATATATGTTGTGATAGATATCCTTGAAGATCACAAATTTATATAGAGAGACAAAATGATGAGATATATATCTATAGTATATATTGATATTTATATTTATTCGATTGAAAAAATTCAGCCACCAGAAGGTCATTGACAAAAACAAACGACAATCTTGATAGAGACAGTATATTTATAGATAATAATATAGAATAAATATATGTGTCATAACAAGAACGGAATAGTGGGACAGAAATAGAGCAAATGAGTCTAGGAAAACAAGGAATTAATACGGAAAAAAAAACGAAACAACACAGTCGCGTTTCTCATTTTTCCCCGTTTACTATTATTAGTTGATACTATATGACACTCTCGTCTGCAAGGTGAACCATAATGCGCGTTTGATTAGATATATATTAGAGATAAATTATTCACACATGATTACAAACCATAGCGCCTATTACGGTTTCAATTTATCTGTTGTGATATGCTTATGTGACCGATCGATCACAACTAAATTTTACGTTTCATTGCTTACAAAGAAGTAAAAAGTGAGTGAAATAGAATTGTATATTAAAACTTGTCGATATATCATATTACATTATTTCTAATGAATGATTCTATGTATCTCGTCGAAAACGAGGAAATTAATCGAAGATTAGGTTGATCAGTACAAACAAAACTGAGCTATGAAGAAAGAAAAAAAAAATACAACGAAAAACGAACACTTGAGAGACACAGAGACAGCAAAAGAGAGAGAGAGAGAGAGGAGAAAGACAAGCACAAATGAAGGTCGTTATATAAGAAAGAGAAACCGATGTATGTGCAGACGTATAAAATAATTTTGCATAAAAAAAACAACTTATTCATTGATTAATTTTATTTCCTTTTTTTTTTCTTGCCATTATTTTGTGATCATAGCTTTTTGAGTAACATAGATTTTTCTAGGTGAAATGTTCATTCAATGTTTAACATAGAAGTTGTATTATATCAACTATTGACTATTCAATATATATTTTAACTATGTTTATTAAATATTTTATATGGAGAATTTCTATGGTATTACTTTTTTTAATAAACATTACTAATGCTATTGGTAATTATCGAGAAAATCTTGCACAACGTCATCCATGCAATACACTCAATAGACGTCTCATACCATATATCACATGGACAGAAAAACTTGCTAATAGCCAATATAAAGGTGAGCTATTTCATTTATTTTTAATGCCTTATTTTTATCGTATCAATATTTTCATTGATAATAAAAACTAACGAAATACATCGTATATATAACTGTGTGCACGATCCAAAAAAAAAATGTCTCCGTGTCATAATAGATTTTTTAATGTTGAAATCCCTAAAGAATATGTTACTCGTTAATCACCAATGGAAATATTATTCAGATAAAGCATATCACATTTTAGTAAGGGAATAAAAGAAGCAGAAAAGAATATTTTTTTTTTTACAATTTTATGTATGAATGTAAGGATTCAATTATTATGATTGATCTTGCTTGTAAAATCTAAATAGACTTTTTGAAGGGTTCATACTAATCAACATTGTATGATTTCTTTTATAGAAAAAAAAACAGTTTCAACGCTTTCTTTTTTTCAAACATAGGGAAATGTATTGGATTGTAAAAAAAAAATCTTTGTATTATTTATAGTTCAAAAAGATGCTTGTGGTCAGATTGATATCGGACCAGCATGTTGTACACATGAAATTATGAATTCTTATGCAACATCACTTGGTAATGAATTAAAAAATATACTCGATGCTGAATTGAATAACTTAACAAAATTACTTTCAGTATCAAAACAACAAATCGATTGTGAGTAAATATTATTATTGATAAGTACAATCATTGTCTTACTGTAGACCTTCAGACAGACACTAAGTGAAAAAATTGATAGTTTACTTTTTTAAATGATTTAAATAGTATAGCACATACTCTGGCCTATAGGTTATTGCATGTCATATAAAGATCTTTGTTTCTCTTGTTAGCATTAGTCGGAACACAAAGAAAAAAAATTCTTTAAGAAATATCGCTATTAGAGAATTACGAGCCTATTTTTACTATGATTTGGAAATATAAGGAAACAACATCCTTGAGAAAATTATATATATAATCTATAATTGCGTCTTTCATTCTATCGATTCGGAAAACAAACTTCCGCTTTTATCTATTGGGGATTTGAAAAAGAAAAATCATTCTTCTTTAGCATCGAGTGCATTTACGGAAACATGTGCTAAGTATAATAAGCTTACACAATTCACCACAAAATGCCCATAAAACTGATATAACGTTAGTGCAAACATTGCATATATAGAGTCTAGATCTTTCATAATGATTTTTCAGCAAAAACAAAGTTTTTTTTTTCTGATTATATTGACACTTGAGAGATGATAATCAGGGCAGAACGAGTTATTTAAAGAGTTCTATAGAAATTCTTATAGCTAAAATGATTCGATCTATTTTTAGTAACATTCAATCTAGACTACAAAATGATATATAACAAGTAATTATATTAACTACATAGACTTGAACTTCGTGAATCAGACCTGAGTCAGTTATTTTTAAAATAATATGGTTGAATTCATGAAGTTTTAGTAATTAAAACTTTTTAAAAAGTATATTATCTATAATGTAATGTGCCTATTTTACAAGAAACACAATGTTCATATAAATTCTTTATTACTTTTCTAATATCACATTTGAAAACATCTTTCATGAAACTTTAAACTATCTGCCAGCTTGTGCAATGTCTGATACTCTTTCGAATGTGATATTTGAAAAGAAAAATTATTTAATATGCTTTTAAAAAGTTTTATTTACCAAAATGTAGCTGGTATTGTTCTCTTTCCATTTATATAAATTCAGCTTTTTTTAGAACAATTCTTGAAAAGATCGTCCAAAAACATTCTGTTCAGTATTGTATATATATATTTTTTCTTATCATAGCTTGGTCAAAAGAATACATCATGGAATTGCATCATTTAACAGTATCATCACTTGAAACATTGTTTGGTACAAAGGAATATCGTTTAAATATTGATCATTCAGTATCAACTTTATTCAATACTCTTAGTAATAGTCATTCATCTGTTGACGATGTATCAAAATCAACTGTGAATTTATTTAATCATCTGATTATTTCATTATATCGACGATTTATAATAAATAATGATCAAATTGTATTGGATAATAATTTTCAAAAATGTCTTATAAATAAAGCATTTGATATAGACGCATTACCAAAACAACGTGAATTACTTTATATATTAACAAGTGCATCATCAATAATTCAAATATTTTATACCATGCTTGTTTATATTGATGCAGATATTCAACGATTAAAAACAACAGCAACAATGAATTCAAAACAATGTATACAACGCTATGCAAGAGAAACATTATGTCCTATATGTGTTCGTACATCATCTTCATTTAATCAAAACAATAATAATGATATCAGGAAAGTTTTATGTAAAAATGATTGTCGATATATAATTAAAACATGTCTCAATCAAACAAATGATCCTTATATGGCATTTGCTTCAATTGCTAAAAATTATTCTGATATTATAAAAGAAATTGAACATGCTGTTATTGAACTTAAAGTGAGTACATATAATGAATACTGAAAGAAAAAGAAATATATAACTTTTTTATTCCTTTTTTTATGTTAAGCTTGTTGAACATCTTGCGAAATTACACATTTACTTATATGACATGGTTGTTAATGCTTCTAATAGTCGACATATATATGTGGAACTTCAAAATGCTTGTTCAAATGAAAATACTAAATCTTTTAGTCCTATTCTTTCGTTACCACCAACTATAACTGAACGACGTGAACTTGTTTTCCAATGGAATAGATCATTACATTTTGTGCTCAAACGAACTCAATCATCTATGGATAGTCTCAATACAAAATTTACAAAAAAGCTAATCACTGGTATTTGTTCGAATTCAAAGTATGCTATTAAGTCAGATCGATGCACACAAATCGATAAGCAAACTACAAAGTAAGTATATTGATCCGACATTGTTTTACATTTTATGTGAAATAATAATCATATAGCATTGCACAAGCAGAACAGTAAATAATATGAATATATTTGTGTATTTCTATACATCGTATGTAATCGATATCATACTATATTAATGTGTATAATAAGTAGAACTAAAGCAATGTTCTATTTAAAGTTTCTGCTTCGAAGAGGTCATGTCGAATTCTGAAGAAGCAAATAGATTTTTTGATAGCAGTGATCGTATAATTCTTGGCGTAATAATTACGAACTTGAACCCTGAGAGACTGCTGCTCATTTGGCTTCGTGCCTAATAAAACACTGAACTAAAGGATTGTGAACCAATATTGAAAGCAAATCAATCTATCAACATACTTTTGAATTTATTGAAACATATATTTTAAATTGGTATGTTTCACGTTCAAATCATCATTTCATTTTTTTGGGTGTATGATGAAAATAAGGCTGCTAATAAAACCGCAATGAACTCATAAATTTTATTTGATATATTCTGTAGATTCAGGTTAATAATTCTGACACCTGCCGGAAAGATGCTGTTTCCAGCTGAAAAACTCGCGAAGATGGTAAGAACTTTGAAGCAGAAATTCGGTAGTCAAATTTTTCCAGTTCTTGTGTGAATTAACCATCATCGAGTAGAGCTGACTCGCTGATTTTCCGTCTGTACTTCATTCATCCGAAGATTTCTCTAAATTTCATCAAATCCTAGTAGAACATTTATTTATTTTTAATCTAAATGTTAAAATTATTTTCTAATTCATCTATGACATAAACTTGTGAGCATTCAATACTTAAAAGTCTAAACATATACTATAAAAGCCATACGTGCGATTTCTTCTCATACATTTATTCTGAAACATAATCCATGTTAATGTTTTTTCATACGCATCGATAAAAATCATACTTATACCGCTTGGATAGCCATAATAAGAATAACATCGAGTTTACATAGTAAACCGTATTGAGGTTACCTTGATTGTATCAAAAATCTATGAATTACAAACTGATACAGAAATTATTCTTAGGCGTCTTATAAAACATAAGATTCATTTTTACACACAAATGGATAGAATTTTGACGCAATTTTGTTTCTATATATAGCCATTTCATTCAATGGCCACTTCCACCTGTCTCCGAGTTTACATTAAATACGCATGACGCAGAATTGACACGTAATCAACTTGATGAGTTAAAAAAAAAGCTAAAACCTATACAACAAATAATTAAATTTCTTCAACCAAAAAAAAAATATTCATTAATACAATACATACCTGATTTTGAATCATATAATGATGATGTTAATATTATTGATTATGATACAGAATTATTACCATTTATTGAAACTGATGATACTGATATTCATGGATCACTTAGTGAACAACTTTACAATGAAATTGATGGACAAACTACACGTATATACTTTATCTTTGATTTCATTTTCAATGAAATATTTTTTTTTTTTTGTTTTGTTTTTATTCAGGTCGATCAATTGTTACTACTAGTAAATATGTTGAAAAGAAAAAGATTAACAATGGTAAATTAATAACATACAGTTTGCCATTATATCTAATAATTGTCATCATTCATCGAATTTGACTTATTAGTCAACGAACAAGATGTAAAATGATAAACTTGTGAAATTTTATTTTTCATTTTTGTATAGTGATATATTGACATTATCCATCCAATACTCCGTGTTTATTATTGTCTTATTTTTGTTTCTTGTTTTGAAAGTATCCGGTGTTCTGTCCTTTTTTGTATAGTAGTCTAGATATTTTTTAATATACATTATTTGTGACTTAGTTTTATCATGAAATCATAATAATTCTCAATTTTTATTCGTATAAAATTTATCTCATGATATCATTTATTCCAATAAAAATCTTTATAAATATTAATAATAATAGAAGATTAATAATTTTTATCCTTGAAAATTTCCAGTATTTTCCTATGATATTATTAAATTGTGAACATTTTTCTTATATCGATCTAAATTAAATGCATCAAAATTTTTCCGGCATTTACCGGATGTTCATATTACTTATTCAGAATGCATTATAACTGTAACGTTTTTCCTGTTTTATAGCATAAGAAAAAAAAAAGTGATGAATTTTCGATATTTTAGATTACTACTTTGGGAACATCGGATGTATAATATGGTTTAAAATAAAATACATCATATTAATTGACAGGACGAAGATTTTGAGAGAAAGAAAAAAAAGAAAAGAAATACCGGAGACGTGTTATGTAGTATTTATAGCTCATCAACATCAAGTTATATAAACATAGTTTTCATTGGATCTCAGCTAGGCTATATGCATGTCATTAAACAATAGAAGTTTTCATGAAAATTAAGATTAAGATAAATGGATATTTCATATGATCATACTTGATGATTTAAGAAATGTACTGATCAAATAAAAAATCATTTCTTTCATTTGTCATATGCCCAATGACACATAGAATATTTTGTTTTGTTTTTCTTTTTTGTAAGTTTTCTATAGAAAAAAAAAAAAAACGATTTATTAGTATCGACACCACTTTTGACAAGATTCAATTAACTACTGAAGATTAATAAATCTCTAATTAGTCAAACAGTCAGAAAAAAAAAACGTCTATTAGATTGGTTAACAACACAACACTTTATCATATAGAGTATATTTATTGTATCCCCTTAGGATACAATATTTCGGGTCGATACGACTGACATTGATTCTTGTAGTCGCGTATAATTATCTTTTGTTCAAAGCGTTTTCTCAAAGAATATATTGTAAAAAAGTATTTTCTATATATTATAAAATAAAGCTGATCATGTAGAAAAAAAAAAAAAAGTGACAATAATGAGTTTTAACTCAAATTAATTGCTCTAGAGCTTAGAAGATAATATACAGTTAATTAATGTGGAAACGCAATATGCAAAAACATTATAATCGCAAGTTGTTATTTATTTATATTTATTCGGATGTAGGTCATGTCGACCTTTTATACCGGCTAATAGCTTGTCACAGCTGCGAACAAAAAAAGAATCATTATTTTTTTTTTAGACATAAACTCAACACATTAAGAATAAATACACAAAAGATTTGTTTTTTAAGAAAAGAATTGAATAGACATATATGTAAATGGAATATGATTCATTCGAGATTTTTTTGTTGTTGTTTTTTGTTTTCGTCAATCTTTGAAATATTTGAACATTATGGTGATTTTATTCGTAATCGTTTAACAGTATCAACATGATGTGATTTACGTTTTGTTGATGATGATTTCTTTAAAGTAATCATTGTTTGTTCATATGGTAAAAAATTTTCTCGATTATCATTCTGAATGTATGTAGGTAGATATGTATTTGTTGTTGAAGATATTTTAATAAATGAATGAAGTAAATCACATAAATGTTTACGTGATTGTAAAAATGTCGAACGAATTAATGAAGTATGATGTAGAGATTCATAATAACGTGGTGATTGTAATTTTTCTAGAGATATTTGCATAATACGTATACAATAATATAAATCATCCATTTGATTTTTTTTTCTGATCTAAGAAAAAAAAGAAAGAAGAAAATATTTTCTTTATTCATGTCAAAATACTACGTATAATATTCTTTTCTTTTTATAGATATGAATATATAAAAAAAAAAAGAGTCGTGTACTTTGCCACACATATAACACAGAAAAAAAAAGCATCGTCTATTGATAGTAATACTAGATATACGTCATTATTCTTCTTTTCATTCGGTCTTTCCGAAAAAGATTTTGTAATAGAAATAGGAAGCAAAAAGAAGTCTTTCCCCTTTTCTCTCTTCTCGTTTTTTTTTTTCTTTCTTTTCTACATCGATAAATTCTGAATCGGGTTATATCAATAATTATAGAAGAAAAACAAATTTTTTTCGTTTGAAAAAAAAAACCAAACAAGAATTCAGTCAATATTAAATATACTTGACATGTTTTGAAAATTAATAATATACGAGAATAAAATATTTTCTTCATTGTGATTAAAATCAAAATGGAAGTTTTTCTTTCTGCACATGACAAACAACAAAAAAGAAAAGAAGTAAATTGATTACATTCATCGCAATTATTTAGACGTTGTCTTGTTTAGTATGCCATAGTAAACAAAAAACTTACTTTCTCGCATTCTATTTTGTTGTAAATAATATCTAAAATTAAATACATCTTCCGGCTATGTATCGTTGATATCCTGTTTTGAAGTTTGAATCATTGTCAACTATATTTAGATTAAATGATTATTTGAAAAACTCAATGTTTTCATTTGTCTTATGAAAATATTTGTAATAAACACAAATATAAATAAAATCTATCAAAATGAATACTTGCAATGTTTTCTCTTCTTTATTATTATACTTGTGAATAAATATATGTTCTCTGTTCATCTCGATTTCTGATTCAAATGAATTATTAGACATTGACAATAATAACAAAAAGAGCGAGAAAAAGACAGAAGATAAATTTATATTATAGTTAGCATATGTATGCGTGCATGCAGCTCATTGATTATGCACCTACCGTCTTTGTCTACACAATCAACTACTTTTCATCTCTTTTTCTACTTGCATTATGGTTTTTGTGTGCTTCCTGAAAAATTGTAACATGCAAACTCAAAAAAAAAAAAAAAAAAAAGAAAAAGAAAAAAGAATAAGTCTTTTATTTCTCACCAACGATAAAACTGATATTCTAATGAGTTCACAAAAGACACAAATAGTTTGCTTTTCATTAATAATGAATAATAAACCAAAAAAAGAAAAAGAAAAAGAAAAAAGTAACTATTTATTCATCTGTAAAACGTCAGAGTACTTTATCTGATAAAGCTCAATATCGATAATGATGAAGCATGAGACAAATATGAAAAAAAAAATAGAATCAATGAATACTTCAATTTATTTGGTAAATGTCATCATTCAATATTGTCACTCCACGGGGAGAAAGAAAAAGAAGAAAAAGACATCAAAACAATGTCTATGCTCATTGCATTTGGATTATTAAGAGTATGCGTATGTTCGTTGTTTGACAATATTAGTAAGTTTATACGACAGATTATATGAATCAATCAATATAGATGCATATCGAATATGTACATACGAATATATTAAACAATATTTTAAATGTTTTTATTTGATAGATTATCATGCTGTCAATTATAATTTTATATTAAATGTATGATAATGAAAAGATGATTTGTTTTTGTTTTTTTTTTGAAAATATCTTTTATAAATTAGGAAATTTTCCTGATTAATTGACAATATAAGTAACTTGTCGAATACATAAGTTTTACTAATAAAACGATTATTTTACATTAATATGAATATTTCACTAAGCACCTAAATATATAGAAAGTAATTGGAATATTTAATATAATAAAACAGCAATAGAACGAAAAATCAAATCTTTTTTTTATTTTTAATATGATCGGTTTCAATCAACATACTCATAAATGCAAAAATATAGTGATCCAAGTAAATTAACAAAAATATCTAATCATATATAAACTTGTTATGTTATTTGATTGTGTACAATATTGTTATGTTTGTCAACATAGTTCTAATGATTAATTAATAAAAAGAAATATGATTGTTGTATATTTCATTTTCTTTTAGAAACTTAAAAGAAATTTTACTTACTGTAAATTCTTACTATTAAATATTTTATTAACATAAAATGTTCAACTCTTTGAACTTTAACATTAAACATCGCACTTGATGGTTGAAATTTATGGAGAATTTCAAACAAAATAGGAAATATCCACTATTCATTTGGCTTTGATTGTTTACAAGGTTGATTTTTCTGCATAAGTTTTTTTTGAAGCACTAGACATATGTAAAAATGTTCATTCTTTTAGCTGACTATTAATTAAAAAGTAATTAGCGAATATTTCTCTAACCATATGAGAATGATGAAATTTTCAGCAAGATCAGATTGCAAAAAAACCGGATATCTAGAAATTCTAAACAAAATATTTATCTTATCATTCTCTAGGAAATTCTGAAGAAGGATGTATACCATTTTGAACTTTTCATTCGATTATAAGAGCATTTTTTGTTTTAGAAAAATCTAAGTATGCTCAGAAAACACTTTGGATAGAGTTATTTTAACCTTAGAAATTGTCAATAGATTGTAGTATATAAAAATTAGTTCTAGGGTAGTTCTATTTTTGCAACGAATGATTTTGCCCTAAAGTATACTTTTATTTGCGGATAGATAGCTTTGATAAAAATAACTTATTGTTCATTTTTCATAAACATCTAATCTACAATGAAAATATTTCTATCAAATTAATTTTAATTACATATTTCTAGATTATTTGTAAGCATTTCAAATCATGTCTTCTATATTGAATATTCAAAATGACAAAAATTCAATTTGTTTTATATTAAAATAAATCTTATTGTAAAGTAAATGTTCATTCTCATGTTGTGTTATTCATACTATATATTTTCACTTCATTATACTCAAGAAAAGACAGATATCTATATCAACGGCTATCACAGAACGGAACATTTATGATTCTATTAAAACTTTGAAGTCTTCTTTATCATGGTGAAAACAAAAATTAGCTCTATAGAGTGGAAATATTCGAAT